ACAGGGTGGGAATGACCTCGAGATAAGACTCGCAGCCTTCCCGATAATGCCCAGCAACGCTCCTCACCACCGCCACGTGAGCCAAGTGTCTGAATAAGTTATGAACCCGCACGTTTATGGGAGGGGAAGAATCAAGCTAACTTGACAAGGAAGATAGCTTTTGCAAGACTAGGAAAAATAGGGAGGAGCACTCGAGGCCCTTGGGACGGAAGTGTGAAAGTGCCTCCCACGTGTGGGAAAGGGGTGTTTCCCGGATAGGCCAGAGTAGGGGGGACGGTGTTGGGGAGAGACGAAGGAGGAAGGTCAGTGGAGGCTGGATTGTGGAGTGTTCTGAGGTTACCACGAGGAGTGTGGATTTCGTCTTGTGGGCCAGAGGGGGAGGAGGGCATCAGTGGCTTGGCGGCAGGGACGTGCCTGGGACGAGGTGTGTGTAAGGGGCTCTGGTGTGCAGGAGCGGGGAGGAAGGAGACAGAAGGGAACCCAAGAACCAGAGGCTAAGAGGATGAGGGCAGACACACGGAAGACACATGCGAGAGAGGTGGCAAGGCTGGGACCCCAGGGAGGCTGGGGTACGATGCCTGGGCGGGGGCGGGGGGCAGGTGGCTGGAGGCAGCAGGGAATGTGGCTCCACATGGAAGTCGAGGCGTGCAGCTGGACCTTCAGGACTGAGGGGCTCTGTGCGACACTCAGTGAAGATATCATGCCACTGGGGACCGAGTGGGCTATCTAGGCTGGAGACTGGGGATGTCAGACTTAGCCAACAGACACTTGCTAACCAGTGAATGACTTTTAAATACTTTTGATGGTAAGCATGTCCTGTGCCATATCTGGGGCAAGAAATCTTTTTTTTTTTAATAGAATTATACCCCAAAACCAAATAACCAAGTCAAAAAATGGGCAGAAGACATGAACAGACAGTTCTGCAATGAAGACATACAAATGGCTAACAGACACATGAAAAAATGTTCATCATCACGAGCCATCGGGGAGATGCACATCACAACCACACTGAGACACCACCTCACACCAGTCAGAATGGCCAAAATTAACAAGGCAGGAAACAACAAGTGTTGGAGAGGATGTGGAGAAAGGGGAACCTTCCTACGCTGTTGGTGGGAATAGAAGCTGGGGCAGCTACTTTGGAAAATAGTGTGGAGGTTCCTAAAAAAGTTGAAAATAGAGCTTCCCTATGACCCAGCAATCGCACTACTGGGTATTTACCCCAAAGGTACAGATGCAGTGAAAAGAAGGGCCATCTGTACTCCAATGTTCATAGCAGCAATGGCCACAGTCGCCAAATTGTGGAAAGAACTGAGATGCCCTTCAACAGATGAATGGATAAAGAAGACGTGGTCCATATATACAATGGAGTATTACTCAGCCATCAGAAAGGACGAATACCCAACTTTTGCATCAACATGGATGGAACCGGAGGAGATTATGCCGGGTGAAATAAGTCAAGCAGAGAAAGCCAATTATCATATGGTTTCACTTATTTGTGGAGCATAAGGGATAGCATGGAGGACATTAGGAGAAGGAAGGGAAAAATGAAGGGGGAGAAATCAGAGGGGGAGATGAGCCATGAGAGACTGTGGATTCTGGAAATCAAACTGAAGGTTTCAGAGGGGAGGGGAGTGGAGGGATGGGTGAGCCTGGTGATGGGTATTAAGGAGGGCACGGATTGCATGGAGCACCGGTTGTTATACGCAAACAATGAATCATGGAACATGACATCAAAAACTAATGATGTACTGTATGGTGACTAACATAACATAATAAAATAGTAGAATTACATCTCAGATATAGCACGGGACATACTCATACTAAAACACGGACATTCATTTATCTGACTGTTGGACTGGGTGTCCTCTATCTGCTCTGGTGACTCTACCTGAGAGGTGCCAAGGTAGAGGGCTCCACACCCCCGACCCACCTTCCCCTGCCTGCCGGCTCATAGCATGGCTGTGCCCCCGGACATGGAGTTTTGATTACTAAACCTGGGATGTTGCAGGCAAATTGGGGTGACCGGGTCACTCTAGGCTGAACAGATGTCGCCTGAACTGTACTTGGGGAATCTTCTGACCTTCGGCCATCTCCCGGGGTGGGGGGCAGGGGGCCCTCAGTTGCGGCCGGATGCCCTGGGGGCCTCAGTGGGCCAGGGGTGCCCACCCCAGCCAGCCCTCTCGGCAGCCTCCCCTCTGCACCACGCTGTCTGTTGCTTCGGCTGTGCCGAAGATTCTCAACCCTTACTAGAATTTTCCTTTGCTTTGCATTTGTTTTTTTGGATTTTTTGTTTGCTTTTCTTGCTGCTGATTTAGTCCTGTTTTAAAATTCGGTTTGGTCGAGCTGTGGTCCTGTCTTCATCTCCGTGTGCCCCTTTTCCTGTCGCTGTCCTTCCTTCCTCTCTGCTCTGTGGAGTCCGCCCGCCACGGCCAGCTTATCAGCCAACACGCCAAGGGCCTGGACTTTGTCCCCGTGGCTCCTGACAATGACTCCCCATGCCCTTCCTCTGCCCCTCTGCCGAGCCCAGGGGTGGTAAAATGCACCCGAGCAAAGCAGTAAGCTGGGCTTTAAATTTAAAAGCTTCCTTCGTTTGCACCAACTCCACTGGCACAGCGTGAGCTCTCTTCTCACTCGGAGTTGCTCTCTGCTCACAGGATCCACGGGCTTGAACAATCTCTCAAATGGTTTTGTCCAACTTGAAAAAGCTTGCATTTCATTTTTCTTCTTGTCAGCTATTGTATCATTGTCCAGGTGTTATAAATTTTTTCCATTTCCGCTCAGGTCCGTGAGTCTTGCGTGTGTGTTCACTTTTTTTTTTTTTTTTTAAAGATTTTATTTGACAGAGAGAGACACAGCGAGAGAGAGAACACAAGCAGAGGGAGTGGGAGAGGGAGAAGCAGGCTTCCCGCTGAGCAGGGAGCCCGATGTGGGGCTTGATCCCAGGATCCCGGGATCATGACCTGAACTGAAGACAGATGCTTAACAACTGAGCCACCCTGGTGCCCCGTGTGTGTGTTTTAAAACAGCTTATTTTCAATGTGATAAGGCATCTAAATACCTAGCTTTCACTCATTCAGCTAAAAGATATGGCCACTGGGCTTAAGCCACACAAAGAGAAAGGGAAAGTGATGCTGTGAATATCGTTCATCACAGACACACACACACACACACACACACACACACACACACAGTTTAATTATTTAAAACACATCCAAGCCCTGTTTTTTGGACCGGCTATTCTAGACCCGACTGTCAACAGACGGATGGACCTTTGTGTCACAGACATCAACCTCAGAGTTTGATGAAATAGAACTGTTAGAGCAGGAGCTGGGCGGACAGAGGGTCCCAGACATGGGGCGGATCAGTCCAGAACGGCAGCTCCCAATCGGACTCGAAGCCCAGAGGACACACGGTGAGCACGAATGGGGGTGGGTGACCCAGAAGAGCAACTGGGGAGTCACAGTCAAGTAGCATTTGCTCCGAGTCTTGGGTGCAACTTCTGGCTGCGTGTGGGCAGCCAGGGAGACCCGGAGACCTGTGGGCAAATCCTTCCCGAGTCCCAGCAGAGGAGCCCGAAGATAGCCCGATCCTTTGCCCAGTACGAAACGGCAGACACCACGTCTAGAAGCATCCAAGGCTTTTAGGACAGATGTAATGTACAGGGACTGCGTTGCACCAAACCCTTCCTCACCAACAACCGAGTTTCAACTGAGCGACCCTCAGCCTTCACTTGCAACACGTAATTAGTACGACGTCCTAAGTGTGTCAGTGTCCCCAAACCACCGGGTAGCCTTCGCTAGCCTTGAGCTGTGCACGCATAGCGTCGCTGCTATTGATGGCGCCGGACTCGGGGCAAGCGAAGCGGATGTCTGGACCGGGAGTGGCGACTTCATTCATCACACTGAATGCCAGAGAGCAAAGCCTTTGTTTACCTTTTTATTCATCATGGCACAAGATAGAACTTTACGAAACACCACGGAAAATGTCACTGCTGACATGAAAACTAAGAGTAGCACGTTTCAAAAAAAATACCGTAGAAAACATGTCCTCAGCCTTTGGCACGATGTAACTACAAGGCTGAGGATTTTGTCCAAACACGACTTACTTTACAAAGCTTTGCATATAATTGGGTTAATACTGATTAGGGGGCAAAAGGAAAAACTTTGTCCTGTGATTTGAATACTCTGGGTGTTTAAACGCTTTATAGTTGGATTCCAGTTTGTACTTTTGAAAAATACATAAAAAGTATACATTATAAATATATATTATATAGGGTCTATATAAAATTGAATTTGATCTGAAATGGGAAAGACAACTTCTTAGTTATTCTCTCTTTGTTAGGCACGGCCTTTCTCTTGTTTGAGTAACTGAATCCTTTCTAAACAGATTCTAAAAATATATTCCATAATGTATCAAATTTAATATCTTCCTTAAAACACATTCAATACGAAAAAGCATTCAGTGACTACGTTTTCTTTTGTATCTCACTACTATATAAAAATATGGCTTGGCATAATCTGTTTTGTTAGTGTTTCTCCTCGGCGTTGAAGGAAGGGCTGTCCCCAGCTAAAAAGCTATGGCAAAAGCACAGAAACCTGCTTGTGCATATTCTAGAACATTCTATAGAATCTCCTTACTTAGTTTAAGTGAAGTGATTTTTTAAAATTGTTCCGTTTCTGTGAATATATCATATATGATTATCATACATAATCTGTTACAGAATATACAACAGTTAAAACTAAGTTACATAAATACAATTAAGCTATACCAAAGCAAGGGATTTTATCTTCTACAAAGCCAGTGGGAGTAGTTTTTTAGGTTGGGTATCACCATCTATTTTTGTTTTCGTTTTCTCCTAAGGCTGGCTATGCAACAGAAGTTTATTATAAATGGCAAGGGTACTAGTGCTCTATATCTTTAAGTGAACCGGGTTTCTCTCGTGTTATTTTTTTTTTAAGTGTTAAAGAAGAAAAATCAGTCCGTGTCCAACTGTCCAACACCAACTTTTCCCCTGCGGAGTGAAAGGAGGGTGTTTGGGCCATGGGGGCGTGAGCTTGGGCGGGCTCATACCAGCGTCTCCGGGAGGGCATCGGGGTTGTCGGGTGATAAGAGCTCCCAGATCTGCCACCGCTCCCTCTGCCACTCGAGCCACGTGGCATCCCCCAAAGTCACTGTTCTGATCACTGGCGGAGGTGGAGTAGGCGCTGCTCCGTGTTTGCTCAGCGGCCTGCTGCTCTCGCTCTCGCTCTCGCTCGGCTGTTTGACCTCCCTCTTCCAAAGCTGTTCTGGAACCTTCTTCTGGCCTCTGAGGCCTCCACAGCAGCGGCTCTGCTGGCTGATGGGATGACGCCCCAGCTTGCTTCCCTGGACCAGGGTAAGGAGGAGGAGGCCTCTTGTCATGCTTCTCACTCTCCCGAGTTCTCTGGTGCAAAGGCTTGGCTCGCCGGCCCGGCCGCCAGGCCACATCGAGCTCGCTCTCTGTGAGGTCTTCGGCGCTGTTCAGAGTCAAATATCGCTCTGACTTCGCTGTGGCCTGCTCAGACCTTCTGCCGCCGCCCTGGATGTGGGGCGTGCTGCAGACACGGGACACGGGAGGGCAGGCCCTGCACTCCACGATGGTGGCCGTGGTCTGAGTCCTCCGAATGACCTGTGGGCCACTTTCCAGTTCTGTGGGGCTCCCCTGCCACCGGGGCCAATTCGGGGACAGGTTCCCTTGCGAAAGGGAGCAGGGCCCCGGTCGTAGGGAGCTGCTTTCAAAAATGTCTCCATAGGAACCTGGAAGCCGGAGAGAAGGGCAAGAAATGGAATTAGTTTGTAGAATCCCTGTTGGGATGTGTCCTGCTACTTTCCTTCCCACGGCCGACTTCAAAAATCGCGGAAGCACAGGGCACTCCTGCTACTGGCTAAAGTAAGAGGCATCCTGGGAAAGGAAGTAAGTAACACTTTGGTTATTGGCACAACCCAGGGATCAGCTCCAGCTGCAGATGTCACACGAGATCCCATGGTCCTTGGCACTGACTTGTTTCGAGAAAGGCCCCTTCCACATGGCTTCTGAACCTGGAAGGGAAAGAAAGTGTTCTCTTCTCATTCGGTGCGAGTCGCAGTCCTGAGGAGAAACCAAGGACAATGCTCTGATGTTCCCACCGTGTCAGGAAAAGGTGTTGGAATGAATGACTTGAAGCTAAATGCCCCATCTCGGGCCAGAAGGTAATAAAGACAGCAGCTGCTGTGTGGACGTCACGACCACCACTGTGGGCAAGACCGGCCTAGGCCTCTCGCTTATTCAAAAGCAGGCAGGGAAAGAAAGATCATTTTGAGCAAGAGGCATGAGCATTTGCACGGGGACTGATCAGAGTTGAAATAGCAGAAGGAAATGGAGCGCAGCATCTTGGAAGTCTTTCTCCTTGGGGGAAAAGGCAGTAAATCACTTCATAGGGTACAACGCGATGTGGTTAGATAATGGATCGGTACTAAACTCAGCTGGCTTACATGCCACTAGATTAAAGAGGCACTGAGCTTTAAAAATGGAATATGGGAGGGGGCGCCTAGGTGGCTCAGTCAGTTAAGCTGCCGACCCCTGATTTCGGCTTCGGTCACGATCCCAGGGCTGTGAGATTGAGCCCGGCACCAGGTTCTGAGCTCCGCCTGGAGTCCGCTTGGGATTCTCTCTCTCTCCCCCTCTTCCCTCTGCCCCTCCCCCTGCTTGCTCTCTCTCCCCCCCCCAAATATAAATAAATAAAAACTTTTAAAAATAAAAATTAAAAATTAAAAAATATAAAACATCAGCTTGGGGAGGTTCAGCTGATTAAGAGAAAAACTGGAAAATAATGGTGAGAAGGAAATGCAAATGAAAATGATAAATACAATTTTGCTTTATTTTTTATAAGATTTTATTTATTTATTTGAGAGAGAGAGAGAGAGCACAAGCAGGGGGAGGGGCAGAGGGAGAGAGAGAAGCAGGATCCCTGCTGAGCAGGGAGAGCCCGATGCGGGACTCGTTCCCAGGACCCTGGGACCATGACCTGAGCTGAAGGCAGATGCTTAACCCACTGAGCCACCCAGGTGCCCCCAGTCTGGTTTTCAAATTGGCAAAAATGCAACCCAATGATGTGCAATGCTGACAGGACTACTTGGAAAGCTGCGTAATTTCCACTGTCCTATTCTGGATGTATAACTTGCTTTCCAAAATTTTGTGAATCTATTAATCATTGAAAATACAAAACAAAAAGTACATGAAAGAGGTTCCTGACAGCATAACTTACTACAACAATGACCAAAAATATGGGTTGTAAAATATGACTACGTCCTCTGGAATACTTTGTGGCCCTTAACAATAAAAATGATAAGTAAGTGGGAAATGGAAGTTAAACAGATAATATCAAGTTGCATGGACAGAATGATGGTAGCCGTGTTTAAAAACTCTTGCAAAGGAAGTAAAATGAAATATAGTGAAAGACTGATGTATTTTGGCGGAAAGGCTAAGTACAGCTTGATCTGTCTTCCCCCCTATTTTCAGCATTTTCCAAATAATGCCTGACGAGTTTGTAATACGAGAGTAAGGCAAAAATCAAAGAAAATTAATTTAAAAAGTAAGTGCAATAAACGGTCTTTAAAAGATAATATGTCACCTGTCATTCCTGGGTCTTTGGAACCACTTTTTAATGTTGAATGCCAAGTTCCCCAGATATTGAAAGGCTCCTTTGACACATCTAGGAGAAAGTGTATAGAGAAAGGCACGTCACTCACAATGAAAAGCGAAGGGCAAAAACCAAGAAACAAATATTCTGGTAACATAGCACCACATTCAAGGCTGTGGTGGATACAAGAGAATATGATGGATGCTTGCCCTGCGGGGGCTTAGCCCATTTGCGATTTACAGAAAGGTTCTCTCTATGATGGTTGTGGTACCCAGAATCAGGCCCCCCAAAGATGTCTGCGCCATGATCCTCGGAACCTGTAAAGGTGTTATATACCAAAGGGACTTTACAGATGTGATGAAATGATGGGTCTTGAGCCGAGAAGATGATCCTGGCTTATCTGGGTGGGTCCGAGGCAATCACAAGGGTCCTTACAAGGGGGAGGCAGAAGAGAAGATGGTACAGTGCTGGCTTTAATGGCGGAGGAAGGGCCAAGAGCCAAAGAACACAAGCAGCCTCTAGAAGCTGGAAAAGGCAAGGAAAGAGATTGGTCCTTAGAGTGTCCTCAAGGAATGCAGCCCTGTGGGGCCATTTTGGATTCCTGAGGTCCCGAACTGTAGGATAATAAATGCCTGGGTTGTTTTATCTTTTTTTTTTTTTTAGAATTTTATTTATTTGTTTCAGAGAAAGAGGGAGAGCGTGTGAGAGCCTGGGATGTGATTTTAAGTATTTCTCGAAGCAAACGTCTACCAGGCGTTGCAAATGCAGCCTCTCCTTGAATTCCCAGGCAATGGCCTGAGTCTGCTTTAGAGGTGAGGCTGGCAGCAGAAGGAGCAGCTAAGAACAGGCCGCGGGCACGGGGCGGGGACTGTCGAGCGCTTCCTACATGCCACGGTCTGTGTTGAGGACTTTACATGGATTAGCTGGTTAAACTCTATGAATTAATACGGCTGTCTTTCCTAGTTCTCATGCAAGGAAGAATGGGGACTCTGAAGAACTCAGCCTTTCACACGAGATCCTGCAGATCCAAAGTACCAGGACAGTTACTGAATCCAGATCGAGGGCTCTTACCCCCATAGGGTTCTAACATGACTGCTTTCTTTCTTTCTTTCTTTCTTTTTTTTAAGATTTTATTTATTTGACAGAGAGAGAGTGAGCAAGCATGAGAGAGCACAAGCAGGGGGAGCGGCAGGCAGAGGGAGAAGCAGGCTCCCTGCTGAGCAGGGACCCCCCCCACCAAAGTAGGGCTCCATCCCAGGACCCCAGGATCGTGACCTTAGTGACTGAGCCACCCAGGCGTCCCTAACGCGACTTGTTTCTTTTTGTTTTGTTTTGTTTTTTAAGATTTTATGTATTTATTAGAGAGAGAGAGAAAAAGCACAAGCAGAGGGCAAGGGGAGGAAGAAGGAGAGGAAGAAGCAGGCTCTCCTCTGAGCAGGGAGACTGACTCGGGGCTCGATCCCAGGACCCCGAGATCATGACCTCAGCCAAAGGCAAATGATTAACCGACTGAGCCACCCAGGTGCCCGCGACTTGTTTCGAGTTCCCTCAGGGTGCAGTTATTTCCAGGGAGAAAGTTGCAGTTAGGCAGGATGGCTAAGCCCCGCTGCAGTGATATTTGGGGCCAGAACTTTCCCTGTGTGAGGCCGTTCTCTGTGAGGTGGAATGCTGAGCAGCAGCCCTGGGCTTCACCATCTACACAGCAGCAGCACCCGGTCCTAGGCTGTGTCAACCCCAAATACCTCCCGACATTGTCAGATGTCTCTGGGGACACAGAATTGAGGACGGCAGTGTTAGAGCTGGCTGAGACGAATGCACAGAAAGCATGGACACGCGCTTTAGTCCACCTGTGAATCGGAGCGAATGTGTATCTTAGCCAACGTGCTAAGAAACTACAAAGCAAACACACGGATCCTGGGAAGAAAGAATCAAGCTTTCTTGGTGGTAAGTTGTCTATTAATCTCCCCTTGAATTTGTATTTAGAAACCCGAATACACCATGCCTTTCATAAGAGCAAAAATCTCTTTTTGTCATTATAGAGAATACCACATATAGAAAATTTGTCACTAATTGGAAAGAGCAAAAATGAGAGCTCATCTATATGCATTAGAAAGGGAATAGTTAGAAATCTACAATACACCGACTTAATGGGAATATATAGTGGGCATGAGGAATATTAGCAAAATCGAAAATGTTAATGATACGATTTTAAGTAGAATAAAGTTTAATTCAAAAGTAGCTATGCTTTGAAAACAAATATATCAAATTAGAGATGCATCTGGACAAGGACTAGAAAAAAATGAAGTTTCACATTTTAAAAACAAATTTTATGCTTGAAGGGGACATGGGTTACTGTTTTCATTACAATTTTTAAAAATTATTTTTGACATGACTATTTGTAAAATAAAAATAAATGTGCTATGATTTAAACCACCAAAAAAAAAAAAAAACCATCAAAAACCAGAGCCCTTTCAGGGAGTCTCTTTGGATTAAGTGATACATGTAGGATAAGAGAGCAAGAATTTGTGTCTTCCACTTATTTCTCAGACTGCCCTGCTGAGTCCTGGCACTGAGGAATTATTCTGTGGAGGGAAAGAACAGAGCCACACATTCGGTGGTCAAAGAAATTTGGGAAAAACTGCAAACCACACTCTCCCTTCCATTGTGTGAATTAATGGTGCCCATTAGCACTTTACAGAGTTTGAGAAATTGTACGATAGAGAAACGATTAGCTTGGTTAGCCCAGCATTCCCCAAATGTATTTGACCATGGAACCCTTACTCTGCTATAAAAAAAGAAAGAAAGGAAGAAAGAAAGAGAAAGAAAGAGACGAAGAGGAGGTCTGAGGGTCCTTACCACGCCACCTGTAATGAGAGTCACTGATCTGGCCAGCGCCAGCCAGGTTCCAGTTACCTTTGCCAAGCCTTGGTCCAGGAGAACTCTCTCTTGATTTCGACGATGGCAAGTGGCTCACCAGCACATACTGCTCCGGCCCTTTGTAAAGCTTCTCCGAGCCCCCCGGGGCCGCATCCTCTTGCATAGCCAGCAACGAGCGTGCAGACAGCACTGGGGAGTTGTTGTCATAAGGGGAGAGGTCTCCGCTGGAGGCCTTGTTGGAGTCGGTGGACGAGTGCCTTCCTCCCACAGAAAAGGAAACTTCCGATCGTAACATGTCAGGGCTTCTGGTGTAAGGAGACAATGGCAAGTGTGTGAGTGTGTTAACCCTTAGCGACCAGATGCAAACAATATGACCGTTACACAAATGACAGGCGGAGAATGCATGGGCACAGGGGCCGAAACAAGAAGACCTTGGGAGCAAGGTTCCAAGACTTGTACAGCAAGAATGTGAAAGCGTTTCCACGACATGGCCGGCAGAGGGCAGTGAAACCCCACAGTTGGCAGGGGAACTGGGGGGCGGGGGTGCGGGATGATGGGACAGACATGGATCCCTGTGTTCTCCACTGTGTAGCGCTGAAATGCCTGGTGTGTTACTCCCACTGCCGTTGGGAAATGAGAGTCTGATGCTCCTTATCTGTTAAGGAAGGCGAAACTGGCAGATAACCCTCTTACGTTCCTCCATATCCTGAATTTAAAAATAATTCGAATAAAATTATGATTGAAACTGTACAAGAAGTTCATGATGGCTTTATAGATAATGTCTCCTCCCCCGCCCAAATACTTCATGTGTGTGAACCCATCTTTCCTGTGATGATGACGCCGGCAATGATGATGGTGGTGATGGTGGTGGTGATGCTTCAGGTGGGAGTAACAGTTTCATGTACAGGCCAACGAGATAAATATATGACCATCATCACCAGAGTTCACTGTATTTTAATACTCCTGAAATGATTCTACCAGGCTCTAGTGCTTTCCTAAACTAATATAAAACAGGCTAATTAGCATGTCCATGATGTTTTCTAGGTGCATGGGTTGTCACACCAACAGAAACAACAGTGAAAATGCGAGAGGAACAGGAAAATGAGAACGTCAGGAATGTGAAACGAGTGTTGGAAGTCTTACCTGGGAACATCTGTATTTTCTACCTTCCTCAAAACAAGTGGCCCTGACATCTTAAAGGGAAATGATCACAGAATGATTAAAAGTTCCACAACCTCCTTCCATCTCTCCCTGCCAACCCTGCTTCACTCCTCTTTACTAGTCTTTGCTTTCTCCTGGTTTAATTCCTCAAAACAAATCCTCTGGGATCTTAAAGGTAAACACATGCCTGAGTAATCTTTTCCTAACGAGCTGGCCGTGTGCACGCAGCCCGGACGATGGAGGACCCGCACTCACAGGGGACCTAGCTTTGTCTCGGGTTTCCAGCGGGGGTTGGCGTCCAGGAGAAAAGCATTTCAGCATCTGTGACATGCCTCGCCTGTCACTGACGCAGCCAGGGCCCGAGCACTTTTTGCTGAGGCAATTTCTTACCCACATGGAATAAATAAGTCCTTTCCTTGCCTCCTCTTTAAACCGGTGACAGACAATCTTATGGGAAAGAGCCAGAGAACCACCATGAGGATGTTTTTCCAGAAACTAGTTAGGCCTCCAGCGAATGAAGGAGAACTCAAAAGAACTTACTATTTTCTGCTGGAAGGGGGTGTGTGTGTGGGGGAACTACTTAACCTCCACTTCTAATTCAAGGGGGGGGGTCCTCCCTAATTCTAGTGGGGGAAACACAGAGCAAAACAAATGGACGCTTGTCTGTCATGAATTTGACTCTGCTTGAGGAAACTGTACTATGAAAATAAGAAAAGCTGCATGTGTCGATCAGGTTGCTCGGCTTAGAATCAGGGTTCGGACCAGGGCTAGAAATTCTATGACTGGGCCCCTTTCTGTTTGTTCTCCCCGTTTAGTTGACGGGTTTTCCCCAGTCATTAATGAAAATGTCTTCCGTCTACTCCGCGAGAGTAAGCCACGGTACTCTATCAGTGCCGGCGGGGCCAGAAAGCCTTCCTTTACGGGATGTTTTAAAGAGAGCCAAGTCAATTCATTAGCCAACACAGAATACCCATCAGGGCGAGGAAGGCTTTCTTGGTCCCTCCCCCTGGGAGGAAAAATGTCAGAAAGGTGGTATTTTCACTCACGGAGACCCCAATTATTCTGTGTCATGTCTCGTTCATCTGTCTTAAAAAACAGAGAATACAGTCAGCAAAATGTGACAAGTTGCAGATTCTGCTAACAGTGACATGCATAAAGAAAGGTCCCCTAACTGTATCGAGTCTCGGTACCAGGAACATCTATCTGGGTTCCTGCCGAGCAAGTAGGTGACGCCCCCCCACCCCCAGGGAAGCGTGCGTGACGTCATAAGTCACGCACGTCTCTTGGCAAAGGCTGCGAAGGGCTCCCAGGCGCCGGGCTCCGCTCGGGGGTCGGGACACAGGAAGCCTATGGGTGCCGCGGGGCTCTCCCGCCCCAACCTCATCTTCCCTTATCGCTCGCTCTCCCCCTTTCCTTTCCCTCGGCTCTCAAATTCTTCACTACGACATTGTTCCACTTACATACTTCGGCAAGCTGCTTCCACAAACTTTTTGTGGACTGGTGTACAGACAAGGAAATCGCACGCACATGAATTATTGCGGGTACCGAAAAGGCTTCATGAGAACATTGAGTGTGCTTAACCCAAACAGAATAAAACAAAGAACAATCACAACGGTAACAAAAATAATCGAAGCTGCCACACGATTTCCCTTCCACGCTCATGCCTGTGACTGGCTCTGGTGGAGGAGAGGCGGGAGAGGAGGAGGTGGAAGGCCAGGGTCCCTCTCCTCTGCTCTTTGGGGAACACCACCTGGGAACTTGCTGGAAAAGCCAATTCTCCAGCTCCATTCCGAGCCTGCTGAAGGGACTGGCTGTAACAGCTGGGACCCCCCGGCGGGGGGGGGGTAACTATTAAGAATTTCAAGGTGGTGACCACAGATCATCAAGCCAAATGCGGGCTTCTGGTCCGTGGAGGTCCCGTGCACCTGCCCGGGTCACAGACTGCGAAGCCGGCTTTGCCTGTTGAAAGGGCATCTGGGCACCAGGCTGGCAAACTGTGCTTCAGAAACCCCTCCGGGGAAGTGTGCTACCTGGGCAAGTTTGAGAACGTCCATGCGGAACCTGCCTTCCCTCCCTCATCTATAGAGAGGACAGCGGGCTAAGGCTCCACTGAGTCAAATCGGGAAGGAAACTGCAGATAGTGGCCCAAACCTCAGCACCGGCTGACGGTGGGGGTGCGGGGATATGAAGAAAGGGTGTGTGTGTCCATCCTACCCGCTCCAGTCCGCCGGACCCAGCTCACTGAATGTAGCTTGGTTGTGGGTCCGAACGAGTTAAGGCGAGAGGGAGCAGGAGAGGCCAACCTGCCTTACTCTGCTCTTCTGGTTCATTCTCTGAAGTCAAGCCACCAAAGTGACGACATCTGGGGCGCCAATCAGGGGACAAACCAGAGGACACGCCCCCTGCTGGGGTGGCTGGGCTTGCAGCCAGGGACAGGAACAGAGGGACGGGGGAGAGGGGATGCCTTCCTCTCCCAGCCACCCGGCACAGCTCAGTGACGGACGAGGCTATGGTTTGCGAGCACATGGTAAGCGGCTCGTGAAATGCACGAATGTGAGACAGCCCTGTGGCCTGTAAGAAGGGTGAGGGCTGGTGTTGACCCCGACCTCAGGCGGCATGGCCGGCCAACAACTCTCCTGGCCCTTGATCACGGTCCAGAGGTGAGCGGAAGACACGAGGCGATCGCGTGTCTTTCTAGCAGCCGGGACGGCAGGGCTTGAGACACTCCTCAAACTTATGTGAAAAACGGCAGTCAGTCATATTAAATATCGCTAGGAAAATGCCATGTGTTACACCTTGAGTCAATGGCCCTCTTAAATGCTGGAGCTATTTCCTATCTGTCGTTCCATTTTCTCAGCCCAGGTCCGTCAGGCTGTGGCCACATTTGGCTAAGAACCCACATCCCAGAACCGCCTTTCCGCATGGGAGCCCGCCAGTTGGTCAACGAAACCAAACTATTTTATTCACTTCTCGGGACTTTCACTGACAACGTAGGCAGTTCCGAGGTTAAAAACAAAATGGGTGGCATTCCATGAGTTTATCATTAAATCTACTAGAAACAAAACCAGAACCCCTATTTCGGGTATCGCTGAAAGACGGGACAAGCGGCCACCACTGCCTTCATTCACATTCGCCTCGAGGATGATTCAACTCTGTGAAGACAATTTTCAGTTCAGTGCTGCAAGTCAACGTAATAAAAGATCTGTGTTTCTCTACCGAAAATTGTGATTCACTAGATGAGGGCTAGTCTGGAGGCAGGTAGTGGGCTCTCTATGTCTTGGAATTTAGCAGAGGGAGGTCGGGAATGGTGAGTGGGTAGGTAACCAGTCGGCAAGGGTTTGCCTCCGCAAATGGAGGGCTTTGCTCCATGAGACCTGAAAACCCCAGGACCATCCACACAGGCGTGGCCAATCTCAGCTAACAAAACAAGCATGAGATGGACATGGAGAGCGAATCACTTTCTCACCCTTCGCTGGTCCTTCCAGGTCAGGGGGTTAGGACGCTGCCGGCAGGGTACTGTGGGCAAGCCTGCCCTGCCGCCGGCTGCACAGAACTTGTTCTGTGGATAAATGGAAAACTGGGGTTCAACCACCGGGTGTGGCGGCCCAGCCCCTTGCTGAGCCACCCCAGTGAGAAACATCCTCGGAGACTACAAGCTTGTGTTGGCTTCATCCTTGCCTTTATCGTTCAACTGATAAACCTCCGTCTGTTGGAACGCAAAGCACATAACCGTCTCAGACACGATTCGGTGTACAGGGAACGGAATCCACGGACATGACAGCACTGGATTTATGGAGGATTCTCACATGAGTCATGCTCGGCTCTGCAAAGCAGCCCTTATGCAGACAAAGGCACCCCCTTCCAAGAAGAAGCTGACGATGGAGCCAAACTCCCCACAGGAGATGAGGTCAGCACCCTGGACATTAGGACTTACTCATGGCTTTGGTGAAATGTCTCCCCTCCCTTTCAGCGCTTATGAATTCCCTCCTAATAGCCATGGCCCGTGAAGGCATTTAGGACAGGGAAGAGAAAACGATGCTGACCTTATTCTCTTTTTGTACACTATGCCTGATAAAACATGTTCAAGTTAATATTTTCCAAGTTTATAAAGAAGCTGTGAACCACAAAGACTTTGGAAGAAAGA